CTTCATTTTTGTGACCTTTTATTTTTATGATGTTTTGACCTATCGTGTATCTTGTCAAAGTTTAAGAAGATTATACTGATTCTGCAGGAGGGAAGTGCTTCCAGATGGCATTCTGTATGGCTCACGTGAATCACATTATTCTGTTTTCAAAGCTGCACGAATGTACAGGATGGAATGTGAAAAGGTCGACACTTTGGTCTCAGGTGAAATTGATTGCAAGGATTTCAAAACTAAACTCCTTTGCCACAAGAGCAAGCCAGCAATTATCAACGTAAACATTGGTACTTCCCTCCCTCTCTCTCTCTCTCTCTCTCTCTCTCTCTCTCTCTCCATGTGTTGTGATGTATTGTTAACAAATAAATTTCTGCAGGCACAACTGTTAAGGGAGCTGTTGATGATCTAGATCTGGTTATACAGACCCTCGAAGAAACAGGATTCACACATGACCGGTTCTACATTCACTGCGATGGGGCTCTATTTGGTCTCATGATGCCTTTTGTAAAACGTGTAAGCTTTCAGTGCTTTTGGAAGCAAATGTTGTGCCACATACTTTGTGCACAAACAATATTGATTGGAATCCACCATTAGTTGAGTTTACCTGAAAGATAATTGGTCAAATATCTCTCCTTTTGCTGATTTCAAGATTTTTTACTACTGTTTCCTGTTCTACCATTAATTTTGTTTGGGTCTTGGTCAAATGTAATATGGAGTAGCTAGGATCCCCTAGGTTGGATCCACTAATTTATTAGTAGATCCTGTACATCCACTGTGTTCATTTCTTGCATGTTTGAAACACATCTACATGGTGGTTGGAGGTGTGTGAAATGCAAATGGGGGTGAAAAAAAAAAAATTGCAGAAAAATCTTTCCACTTTAACAGTTAGTTCACAATTTGTGAAAGAATCAGTACTGGTTGGTCAGGTGCAACAGATGCTTTAGTATTCTTGATGTTGCTTCATCTTTGAACCCTTTTTTTTCTTGCATTATGGTTTGCTTCAGTATTTGCATAAAGGGGAGCAAAACAGTTTCCCAGTCCAATTTAATATTAGTTTTTGGTTATAGTCTACAGACTCTACACTATTATTTGAAAATGACTGTTTACATTCTCAATGTGTGTATATATTCCTTGTTCTAATTGTTCTTGTGCTGACTAGGCACCGAAAGTTTCTTTCAAGAAGCCTATAGGAAGCGTGAGTGTTTCTGGCCACAAGTTTGTGGGATGCCCTATGCCTTGTGGCGTTCAAATAACAAGATTGGAGCACATTAATGCCCTATCAAGGAACGTGGAGTATCTTGCTTCTAGAGATGCAACTATTATGGGAAGCAGAAATGGCCATGCACCAATCTTCCTCTGGTACACCTTAAACCAGAAAGGGTACAGAGGGTTCCAGAAAGAAGTACAAAAATGCCTCAGGAATGCACACTACTTGAAGGACCGCCTCATAGCAGCTGGCATTGGAGCAATGCTCAACGAACTCAGCAGCACAGTTGTGTTTGAGCGCCCACAAGATGAGGAGTTTGTTCGCAAGTGGCAGCTCGCTTGCCAAAGGAACATTGCACATGTGGTGGTCATGCCCAACATTACCGTCGATAAGCTTGATGATTTCTTGACCGAACTGATTGAGAAACGTGCCACTTGGTATCAGGATGGGAGGCTTCAATCTCCTTGTGTTGCTTCAGATATAGGTAAGGAAAACTGTCTTTGTGCACTACACAAGTGACAAGTGATGGATGTTGTGCTTTCACAGTTCCTGTATGGCCTCTGTTGTTTTGTCTGTATTAGAAGACTTTGTTCTAATCTGCTCCTTTACTATGATACTTTGGGCCTCATATTCTTATCCATTACGTGCTTTGTTCTGTTGAGCTTTTTGAATTCTGAAATATGCTAGGTGAGATCTGATCTTACTTTCTCTAGAGAATGTAGAGTCAAAAGACAGATGTAATAAAGTTTCATCAACTTGTTTGCAGAGCACACAATTAAAGCATTATCAATATCCCTTGCATCCCTGAAGTTTGTCTTTAGTCCACAGTTTTCCTCTAAGCAAAATGAAACTATGTCTAGGAATATTATTAGATTGGCCTTCTGGAATGGAACTGGCTCTTGGGTGTTTATGAATTTTGACCATTGATATATAAAAGTTGCATTCATTTGATGAAGTCAGAAAATGAATTAGAAATTTATCTTAAGCTTTAGGGTATGTTCATAAAAATTACCTCAGATTGATGATTAATTTCAAAATAAAGCTTAGAGGATGAGGAAGAGGCCATGCAGGTTGTAGCAAGAGCTATGGAAATTATGGAGCCTATGAAGGCCATGGAAAAGGTTGTGAAAATAGAGGTGTAGGCGGAAAAAGTAGCAGTGAATATAGAAGAGGTCAAAATTTATATACTACAAAAAAAAGGATGAATAAAAATGTGAGACAATTACAACCATTTGTTCTACGATACAAAATATTTTCATAAAGCTTTTGGAGTAGATTTGTTTAAAAGATTTAAGTTCATGCATGGCATGGAGACTTTCGAAAATTAGTTTAAAAGGGGATGTTATTAGTTCACGCAAACTCAAATTTTGAGTCTTTGGTAACATGTATATTGGGGTATCATTTGTGAATTTGTCTTCTTTTTTTTTTTGTTACTTGTACGTCATAATATGTCAAGTGCGTCTCTAGAATGCGGTAGGTAAATATATGTGGCTAAACGTTGAACACATCAATAATATATGTATTAATATAAGACAAGAGCACGTTTTTTAAAATCAGGTTGTCATGGATTAAAGTGGAAGAAAGCAAAATCTTCGTTAAAGAAAGTGCAAAAGCAAATTCTTTACTGGGAAGTGTCATATTTTACATCCTAGATCAGATGGGTCTCGTTATTGCTAGCTTTGTTCTCTGCTTCCGTGAGTAAATGTCGCTTTTTTCAAGTTCAATTTTACAAGGCGTTTGGTATGTATTAAATTTTTATTTTTATTTTTATATACATATATTTATTAAGGTGATATCAAATAACATCTATCAACATCTCTTTTTTATTTTTTTACATATTTTTTTTTTCATAAAAAGTACACTTATTTAGAATATCTCAAATCATCCCAAGTGTAATGCTAAAAAAAATGTTGAAAAGGATTGTTTAGAATGATTTAAATAAGTATATTTTTTAATTTTTTATGAAAAGATGTATAAAAAAATAGAGGGATAGTGTGATAGGTACACTTATTTAATTTATATCAAATAGTGCCTCTTTAAATTTATGCCTTTCTAGTAATTTTTTAATTCTTTTTATAAGAAAAGATGCATGAAAATAAACAGAAGAGATTGAATTTTAGTATTATTTTTGTAACATCTCAAAATATATTTACTTAATCTTTGCACAAAAATATAATTATAACATTTTATTGGGCCATATTGGGAATATAGGGGAATTGGTGCAAATTGTTTCAAGAAGCCTCATGAATGGCATGGTAAGCCATGTGTGAAACCACGTGGGAAAGGCGCGGTCGGCCGAGGTTACCGTTTGACCGACATGAAAGCTGACCACGGGGTGCTTCGGGCTAGGCTTTGCCGAGATGCCTCCTAGCCCGGTCCGACCTTGGACTTTGCCAGGGAAATGCTTGGGTATGAAGCATGGCATGGCCGTGGTAGAGCAGCTCGGCTGCCGAGCTCCAGCTGTGAAGTCAGGCAGTTGGGATTAGGTGATGTTCAGCAAGGTCTATGCTGACAGATGGGATAGCAGAGCCACGTGTCAGGAGATGACTGGGAGTGGGTAAGGGGCTCAGAAGGTATATAGGCATGTCTGCGCCCCCCATACGGGACAGACGAACACTCTGTAAGGAATTTCTTACACTCAAACACTCTCTCCCTTCTCTCTATTCCCTCTAAGGTGTGTGCTAATTTGACCGTCGGAGGGTGTTTCCGGCCACACACCGCCGGGTAGCTCACCGTTATTTGCTCGCAGGTGATCGGATATCGACGGAGCTCGGAAGAAAGGAATACGGGCACGCCGGAATATTTGCTCCCCGTACACTAACAACAATATATCCATTCTCATCTAATGAATTAAACAACCTGAAAATTGATAATTACTTCAAAAAAGCTGGCCTGAGATGTTTTCCTTTAATTTTGTATAAAATGCGCAAGTAATGCACTATGGATTCATAGTTTCTTGGATGCCCATACCTGAGTTTGTCCTCCTTCGTTACATATAGTTTAACATGAAAAGATGAGAAAGTTTTCTCTAAGTTTATTGAATGTTTCTGATTGGTTTCTATGCTCTTACAGTTTCAACTAGAAGATGCAATTGAGAGGGAAGACTTCCAGGAAGCGGCAAAATTGAAAACAGCTATTGCAGAAACAACATCAAAAGACAGTGTTGCTGAAATAATGTTTCAATTGAAGGTTTGATAATTTGTTATCATCAATAAGTACGATTGCGCATGCAAAAACTTCGGCTCTTATTCTAGTCTCTCTGTTTCCTTTTTCAGCATGCAATAGATGAAGAGCGTTATCATGATGCTTCACAATTGAGCAGATGTACAGGAAGTGGGCTGGTAACTCTTTTAGCTTGTACAAGCTATTATCTTTCATAGTCTCCCCTCAGTTATTCAGAATTCAGATTCATGAAATTGTTTTCTTCATGCACGCTAGGATAAAAACTTGCAGTGGCCTCGATGGGATTTCTGTAACTGTAAATGCTGAGCTCTGTCTTTTTATTACTTATGTAGCCTAGCTTACCAGTATCTCTTGAGCAATTTTCTTTTTGTCAACAAGAGAGGAGGGAAAGGAATGGGAAAGTAGCAATGAAAGAAGAGAGCAGTAAAAAGATTAATTAACTTTTTCTATTTATGCTGAGGTGCTGTCAAAATTAAGGAGAAAATCGAGAGAGAGGAATTTTTTAGATATATATATTCTCTTTTTTTCTAAAGTTTCTTGCATGCTTACTTTCAATTTTAGTTTTCTCTACACATCTCTTTTTAAGTGGATATATGTCTGGATCAATTTTTTATCAACTTTCTTTCCGCTTGTAGTGTTCTCTCTCCTTGCAATCAAAGGAATAATGTAAATGAAGGTTTTCTGTAAATGGTGGCATGTATGATCTATTTGGCCCTTTCATATGCAGGTTGGTTGGTGGGTGGGCTGTTCAAAGGATTCTGATGATCCCTTTGGCAGGTTAATACGTATAACTTCTGGCGTTGGAAGATTTATTGGCAGGAGTTATAGTCCAAGGTATTATTACAAAAAGCAAACAAGAAGTAAAATTCATGGGTTTGATTAATATCTGACCTATTAGAAACATTAATGCTTATAGTTTATTACAGACAGTTGGTCGCTGCATCTGGTGGAACTCCTCTATTTGAAATTTTTGTGGTCAAAGATGCTGATGAAACATACACTATGCAGGTGATACCGAGTTTTTTTTTTCCTCAAAAAATAAAATCATGAATTATTTGGTGTATTCATCTAGATTTAAGTTTATAAGAATGAAGACCGATCTAGCTGGTCTGTCCAATAGTGATCTATTTGACCTACCCACCATTGATATTGACCTGGCATTGGCAAGTCAATGTAGCTTTTCTCAGAGGCTGTAGGTTCTGACTCGCTCTGTTGCTGCAAACAAAATACCTTGATTTGTATTTAGGGAATTAAGTCCATGTGCCCACATAGATCCATTAACTCCATGCTTTGGATCACATTGATAGTGTTATTTAGACATTTTATGTTTACAGGTTTGTGTAAGTGTATCAAGTGTTAGCCAGATGATTTGATATAGTAAAATTGCTGTGCAGATGATCTAAGCCTGTCTCTGCCAACCTATGGAATCAAGGTGCTGGCCGACCCCAACCCTGATGCTTTTAGGTTCACGTTCAGTCAAATCCTAAAGTTATACTTTGTTAACCTGGAAAAATAAAAAAATAAAAAAAAAAATAAAGAAGAAAAGAAAAAAAGAAGAAGAAGAAAAACCTATGGAAAAATTGTTTAGAAATAGGAACATTTTATCAATGATTCATAAAATTGTAGTTTGCATGATATGGCAAATAAAATAATGTTAGGTCCCCCTATTTCTTATTATAGGATATTTATTTAAGTGTAAAAGAAATGTTCTTTTTAAGTCTCACATTGTGCTATGGACTGTTATTTTCTTGAGGCTTTTATTTATATATTACTTACAAACTGCTTTACATGCATATATACATTAGTAAGTTAAATTTCACTTGGTCTGTCTGGCCTTGGAGGTGAGTTATCCTTATTGATTTTGAAGTTCACATGCCTATTTCCAGAACTACTAGTTATTTAGTGGTTTGTCTATGATTAATGATAATTTTGTTACATAGGGGGTGTTTGGGAAGAAAAAAAATAGCCTAGTTTAGGCTAAAAATCACAAAAAGACAAAATAGACTAAAATAGCTAATAAGACAAAATATCACATCAAACCCATAATCATTTCACTTTTTCTCTTACAAACATCACATCCAACCACAAAAAAATCCAATTATCTTCCCAAACACAAAAATTTTAGCCTACTAAAATAGCCAAAAACTAAAATAGCCTACTAAAATAGCCACTTCCCAAACGAGGCCATAGTATTGCAATTTTGTAGTTGAATCTTATGTGTCATGTTTTTTTGGATGCTTCTGGGCTTGAAAATCTTTTAAAAGTCCTGCATTCTATTTCTATTAATCTGATGGTTTAAAAAGGTATATTAGGGATGCACAAGGCCATCTTTATTCATCCCCGCCCAAGATTTTTGAATTACCTCTCTCTCTCTCTCTCTCACACACACGCGCGCGCGCGGGGGCCGCGCATGTGCGGGCATACTAAGTGGTGCCATTTCGTTGAATTGATGCTGTCATCCACCACCACCCTTGCAGCATGCTCATCCACCAGACCCATTTCTGGATTGCAATCTGTCAACCACTAGTAGTTAGGATGAAGACTTGTTGAGTTGAGAATCTTTCAACCACTACCACTATTGACAGCATCAACCCTCTTTATATATACATATAATATTCTATCCTGTATGGCTGTCTTGCCCATTTGCATGATAGGAGGTTTGCAACAAACTATAAGTTGATAAAAACAATTTATACTGTAAGGCATAGGTTGTCCATGAATAGACTTGTGTATTAAATAGTGACAGTAATGAGATCAGTGATGTTGGCTGGAGTTTATTAGAAATGGACTCTAATGCCATTAAGATCTATTTTCAGTGAGGGCAATTTGTGGTTAAAATTCTAGGGCACAGAAGATTGGAAATGGACTATAAATACCATTCAAATTTTACCAAAGAGCAACACTCTGAGAAGAGTAAAAACTTTTACTTGGCCCTACTAGTAAGAAACCACATTAAACCTCAACTGCAATAATCCCTGCCTAACCAGCACCTGATATTGGGTTAAAAAATAAACAAATATAAATAAAGCAAAATAAACTTCTGGTGTATGATCTACCCTTAATTCTGTCAGTGATCTCTTTAAATGGATCTTGTTGTCCTCAGGTTTTTCAGGGTCTCTAGATTTTTTGAGGTAGTTTTACAGGCTGTTGATATTATGTCTTTATTGGCAGGTAGCATTCTTGCAACGAGCCAAAGGAAGTTCGACGAACTCCACAAGTTCATCATCCAATTCCAAATCCACAAAAGGGCCATCCATTTCCAAGATCGATGATGCATCTGTAGTAGACATTAATAGGAATGAAACTAAAGCAGAGAAAAGTGAGGACAAAAGCATAAATGTTGAGGGAGCAACTGAGGAAGGGATAACAAGTGTGATAAATTTTCTGAAAGAAAAAATTCCAGAATTGAAATTAAAAGTGATGAAAATTAATGGCACTGAAGAAGTTATAGAGGACACTGATGCTGTGAAGCAGTTGATGCAAGAAGATGATGAGAATACAACGCCCAGTGAAGGTTCTGATGATGAAGCTAGTAATTTGGATGATATTGAGCCTGACCAGGTTGCACTGGGAGATGGTAATGACGCGACAGAAAATGGAAAGAATTTAGATATGAAGGTTTTTATTGGAGGGATTTTACATAACAAAGAAGAAACTTCTACTAAAGATGAGTATGTGCGCATTCGAGCTGAAATTAAAGATATGGAGAGAGATTCTTTTGTGCTTCATATTCCTGCAAGAAGCCAAAATCATGATAGTGAGGAAAGTATAGCGTCTAAGGTTAAAGTGGCAGCTATAGCAGCTAAAGGTGTTTCTGAACTTATGCCTCCTGAAGTTGCCAAGACATTTTGGGGTTCTGATAAGGTATCTTCAAAGGTGAGATTGGCTTTGACTTAGGACTTGTTTGGCTGTGTGAATTGAATTATTCCACTTTGAATTAAATAATTTTAATTTGGGTAATTTGTAAATGATTCATTAAAATTTTTAAGCATCAAACATAACATAGTTTGAACTACTCAATATTATATTAGCTTTTTTTTGTTATAAAAGAAATGATAAGTATAAATATTCATAAATAGAGTAAATTTTGTTGATAGTTTAGTCGTTTCATTTTTACAACAAAAAAGTCTAATTATCTAATTTTTGCATGAATTAAACTTGGAAATGCAGTATGATTTTAGTATATATTATTGTTTCTGGAAAATGAAACTTGAAAAATGCTGTATGATCGAGTGGTGAAATATTCGCTTGTGTTTGTAAATTTATTTTACCAATGACCTCTTGAATTAGACATAGGTGTAAAAAGGAATGGCCTTGAAGCATAGAGGACCCTGGTTTTCATTTATTGTTTGTTAGAAAAAAGAAGTATTTGGTGGATGCCATTTCTTCTTCACTGGTTGTGTAGGAAAACATTCAAGAAATCTTTGGTTGAAGTCTAGGTTTCAAATTTTGGTTTCAACATAATTTGCATTTTGATTCCACATAAGAAGGGAATACTGGAATTTCATCTAGAAGGGAATATTAGAACTTTTTGTGTAGGAGAACATTCACATATGAAACCCATTGGAAGTGTGAAACGTGTGGATGATTTTATACATATTCCTCTTCTTTAGTGAAAACCCTGGTTGTTTTTTTGTGGCCATGTTAGGAATGCTTTTGCAAACACTAAATTGATTGACTGCTATGATTGTCATAGGTTTCTAGAGATGTGCGAGAAATTGTCAAACTTGCTGTTAGTCAGGCTCAGAAGCAGAACAGGTTATCTGACTACACAACTTTTAGTCGAATTACTACTTCTGGAGGTGATTTGGATCCTTTTGATGGTGAGATTGCCTCTCTCTTACACACATTCACATTCAATTCAAACAATAGTATTAACCTTATGGACAAAATATGCTTGTTGGAGTGTAGGTCTTTATGTTGGTGCATTTGGCCCTTATGGCACTGAAGTAGTTCAGTTGAGGCGTAAATATGGTAATTGGAATAGAAAGGATGATACTGATAAATCTTCGGATGTTGAGTTCTTTGAGTATGTTGAGGCAGTAAAGCTAACAGGAGATCTAAATGTTCCTGCTGGCCAGGTACATAAACTTGCTCTTTGCTTATAGTTCTGTTGGCTTGTATATTGTATGCTCTCACATGTTTAGTATGTATGCATGAAACGGAAATGGCCTACCTTTTGAATGGGTGATGCATCCTTGGATTGTGTCTTATTGCTCTTAGCGATACCGAGTCGACTTTTCCTTTCCCCTTTTAGATAGATTGACAAAAAATTATAGTAATATTGTATATTATATACAAGTAATGGAAATTATTTGTACACTAACCAATGTAACTTCTGGTTCTTCAGGTTACCTTTCGTGCAAAAATTGGAAAAGTGAATCGCAACCCCAACCGCGGGTTGTATCCAGATGAATTGGGAGTGGTAATTACATTTTCATTTTGACCTCTCTCTCTGTCTCTCTCTCTGTCTCTGTGTGTGTGTGTCTGTACATGTGTGCGGGGCAAGTTTATATGACACCTAGTTATTAACATACTTCAAGTTTTCCTGAACCCTGGTTTATCCTAGGCTGCCTAGTGTCGAGACTCTAGAGAACTAGATTCTCGAATATGTTTCTAGAAGATTCTTTGCCGATTCCCTCTACAACTCAAAAGTGAAAATTCTGCTCGGAGGAAATTTTATTATAATGATCAGAAATGAATATTTTCACCTATTTGTTGAAAGTCAACTAACATATGCCATTTCATTTGCTGAAAGCAGGAATATATGTTCCAGCTTTACTTCACCATTCATTTCATGTTATCTACTGAAAAACAGCACATCATAGACTACTTCAACACCACATACCACTGCTAGTATGCTATACACATGCAAAGTTTTAATAGGTTTTACTGAGGCGAGGCTAAGGCAAAACTCATTGAGGCTTAGATTTTTAGGCGATACTCCCAAAAGGCTTGCGCATTACAGTCTGAGACATGCACTTTAGGTGCACCTTATATGCCTTTTGCGCATAAATATATGAGACGTATGCATATGAAGAGCTTGTCTTGGGCTCTTGTCAAACTTAGTCTACTAGATGGTTTAAACATAAAAAAGAACCTCTTTTGTCACTATATATATTTCATAGGACAAATCAGGTAAAATGACGAACAAGGAAAAAAAAAAATAAAGTTAAGGCTTAAGTGAGAAGCTTGATAACGAAAGCTAAGAATGTTGAATGTTGATTTCACTTTTGATAAGGGCAAGCTACCTTCTCTGTAGTGAGATGATCAATGCCTTGAGGACGAAAGTTTTTACTCCTTTATATTTAATTTCTTATATTTTCTTTCTATTTTAAAAAGTAAGAAAAACTTTGATTAGGGCTAGAGAGAAAAAGAGAGAAGGAAGGAGATGACTGTGTATATTATTAAACGTATATTTCTTGGTTCCTTTCATAAACCTAAAACATCAGCAAACATACAAAATACAATATGACCATAGTACCCTCACTCAACACAAAAAATAACATATATCACTATATATTCTAACACTCTCCCTCAAGCTGGAGCATAGAGATCGAACATGCCCAGCTTGGCAGAGAGACGTTGAAACGAAGAACGAGCAAGTGGTTTGGTGAAGATATCACCCAATTGATCATTAGAGTGAACATATGGTGTCTCAAGTTGCTAACGCAACCACAAATCCTGTATAAAATGAAAGTCAACTGCAGTACGCTTCGTACGCTCATGAAACACGGGGTTATTGGCAATGAAAATAGTAGCTTGATTATCACAGCTCATGCTCATAGTAGGAACACGAATACCAAAATCAACATCTCAGAGGTGCTATGTGCCATAGCACAATACTCAGCCTCAGCACTCAAACAAGCAATAATTGGTTGTTTTTTGCTACGCCAAGTAACAAGGTTACCTCCAACAAAGGTTACCTCCAACAAAGGTGTAATATCCAGATATAGAACGACGGTCAGTCCGATTGTCGGCCCATTCAGCATCACTAAAGCCAGTGATAGTCAAGGAAGAAGAAGGACGATAAAGTAAACCGCAACGTGGAGTACGTTTGAGATAACGCAAGATTTGACACAACATCAAAATGGGGTTCACGAGGAGCATGCATAAATTGGTTAACAACACTCACATCATAAGTGATATCCGGATGAGTGACAATAAGATAAATCAACTTCCCAACTAAACGACGATACCGACCAATATCAGGAAATAACTCTCCAGTCTTACCATCAAGTTTAACCGAGGAGTCCATAGAAGTATCAGTGGGACGAGTGCCCAGAAGACCAGTTTTAGCAAGAAGATCAAGAACATACTTACGTTGGGAAAGAAACAAATCCTGAGAGGAGTGAGCAATCTCAATCCCAAGAAAATACCGCAGATTACCCAAGTCCTTTGTGTGAAATTGCTTACCCAAATAAAGCTTCAGATCAGTAATACTGACGGAGTCATTGCTAGAGATGATGATGTCATCCACATGAACAATGAGAACAATAACCATGAGAACAATAACCCTAGTAGATGAGTGGTGAACAAAAACAGAGTAATTAGAAGTGGAATGGCAAAACCCATATGCAAGCACAACGGTACTAAAGCAATCAAACCAAGCATGATGAGATTGTTTGAGACCATACAAAGCCTTCTGTAACCGACAAACCTATGCTCATGACCAAGAACAACATAGCCAGGGGGTTGATCCATATAGACTTCCTCGTTGAGATCGCCATGAAGAAAGACATTCTTTATATCAAGCTGATATAAAGGCCAAGATTGACTAACGGCAACAGAGAGGAGAATCCAAACAGAATTAAGGCGAGCCATAAGGGAGAAGGTCTCTAGATAATCAATGCCATAGGTTTGAGTATAGCCTTTGGCCACGAGACGGGCTTTAAGCCGCTCAACAGTACCATCAGGAAGATACTTAACAGTATAAATCCATTGACAGCTAACAATAGGTTTCCCAAAAGGAAGAGGTGTAAGTTCCCAAGTCTGATTATGATGAAGAGCACTCATCTCCTCATCCATAGCATGTTTCCAACCCGACATCTACATAGCCTGCTAATAAGATGGAATAGAAAGACAAGACAAGCATAAGAAACAAAATTAGAAATAGGATGTTGAATTCAAGTATGTTTACCTCGACGCAATACAATAGGTAAATCATCATTAGATAGCACTGGTAGAGGAGGGGCAGGAACCTCAGACACAGAAGATGAAGTAGCCGGGTCATAAGAAACCACACGACGGGCTTGAGACCGCTGATAAACCTGTAGAGGAGATAACGGAGAAGAATCCAATCTGACGAAAGATGATGGGGGAGCAAAAAGGCACGGGAAGAGTAAGAGTTGGAACAGATGTCTCCCCCTCACGACAAGAGATAAGATCCTCTGACAACTGCTGACCAGATGAAAAGAAAAAAGAGATGTACTAAAAAAAAGGTAACATCGGCACTAATAAAGAACCGACGAGACTCGGAATGATAACACCGATAACCTTTCTGTGTATAGGAATGGCTGACAAAAATACATTTGCGAGCACGGGGAGATAATTTATCCAACTCCGAATCAAGGATATGGACAAAGGCCACACAACTAAAAACATGAGGAAGAGGAAACGGAGAACAATTAGGGTATAATTGAGAGAAGAGAGACTGATTATGTAAAATAACAGAGGGCATGCGGTTAATAAGGAAACATGCAGTCAATACAGTATCACCCCAAAATGGTTTCGGAACATGCATGTTAAACATCAAGGTCTGGGCAACATCTAGTAAATGTCGGTGTTTCCGCTCAGCAACACCATTTTGTTGGGATGTATGAGCACAACTAGTTTGATGGATAATACCACGAGCATCAGAAAAATCATTCACAATAGATTGCACATATTTTAAGGCATTATCAGACCGAAATATCTTAATGCGTTTCCCAAACTGAGTAAAAATTTCATTATAGAACTTAGAAATTATTTGAGGCAAGTCAGAACGCTGTCGTAATAAAAGCAACCAAGTCATTCGAGAATAATCATCTACAAAAATAACAAAATAAAAAAAAATCATTCACAGTGGGAGTTCGAGAAGGACCCCATATGTCTGTATGGACTAAATCAAAAGACGCTGACACACGACGAATACTATGACTAGAAAAAGAACTGCAGTGATGCTTGCTGAGCTGGCACGCTTCACATTCAAGCTGAGACAAATTGCTTAAACTCGAAATAGCTAACTTAAGCTTGGCCAAGGATGGATGACCCAGACTGAAATGCCATTGTAAGGGAGACACGGTTGCACTCAAAACAACAGAACTGGAAGGAGGAGAACATAGTAGTGTCCAAAAAATATATGCCATCCTTCTCATGCCCCGAGCCAATCATCTTCTTGGTCTGGAGGTCTTGTAAAACACAAGAAGATGGAGAAAAAGTTACAGAACATTGTAGAACTTTAGTTAACTGACTAACAGAAAGAAAATTAAAAGGACAGGACGGGACATAGAGACTAGAGGGTAATCAGAGAGATGGAGTGGGCTGAAGAGTGCCCTGGCCACTAACAGGTCGGGAGGATCCATCAACGAGTATAATATTACAAGTAACAGGACAGAGAGTACGAAAAAGAGAGGAATTACCAGAAATATTAGAACTAGTGTCGGAGTCTAAAAGCCAAGGTTGAGAGGATTGAGCCATGCATGCAATATTACTTGAGCTAGCTAATGTAGCAGTAAAAGATGAAGGAAAAGTAGTACGAAGAGAATTGACTCTCAGTAAGCTCGCTAATCTGGGTGGTGATTGCATTATGAGAATCAGCTGGGGAAGCACCTGGTCCAGAGGGAATTGAAGTCGACTGAGAGGATGGAGCATCCATAATTTGATTCACACGATCAGGTTTACCATACTTTTGCCAACACCAAGGTTTAGAATGACCCAAGGCACCACAATGAGTACATTTCCAATCACCACGAGATACAACACCAATACCATGGCCACTACTACCACGAGAACCATGAGAATAACGAGCACCACGTGAACCACTATGGGATCCACGAGAACTAGTGCTGCCAAGAAAATTACCTCGATGAGGCCCTTAGTCACTACTACTAGAGATCAAGGCAGAAGAGGACAAGGGTTGAGAAGAATCATATGTGGAAGAAGCCTGTCCTAAAGAAGAACGCAACAATCGAGAATACACATTAGCAGCAGAAGGTAAAGTGTCACTGGCGAGAATCTGATCTTTGAAACCCTGTAGATCAAAATCTAAGCCCATAAGTAAGGATGCCATCATAAACTCTTCCTAATACTTCTTTTGTTGAGCCAAATCAGTAGTGAAAGGTCGGTGCGGCAACAATTGATCCCACAAGGTCTTCAGGCCACTATAATAGTCAAGAAGAGGACGGCCAGACTGGCGAGTAGCAAAACTCTGTTCATACAACTCATAAACTCGAGAGACATTACTTTGATTAGAAAATGACTCAGCAAAGAAGTCTTAAATGGCCTTAGAGGTGTCACAAAATTCAACGGTAGTAGCAACCTTAGGCTCCAAACTATGCCAAAGCCATCCTATAACATAAGAATCCTCACTCAACCAATCGTCATAACCTTTATCATCCTCAACAGGTGGAACGTCAGCAAGAAAACGCGACTTCTTCTTGCCACGCAAGAAAATCTTGACGGCATGAGCCTAAGCTAGATAATTTAGACCACTCAATTTCTTAGTGGTAATAGACTTGGGAAACTCATCATCCTTAGTTATAGAAGATTTCACATCATGTTTTGGCTCAGCCATGATAAGGAGAACAACTAACAGATGCAAAGGGAAAAAAACAAAACACAAGGGCAATCAACCAACATGAACAGAGTGGAGTAAGGAAATTACCAACCAACAGTAACCAACAAGCAGCCAAACAGCCCAAAGAGCTAAAATGTTCAGCCAAGGCCAAAACATGGGTGCTGAACAAGGAAAATCTTCCAGAAATCGCCAAAAATTGACCCAGCAGCAACATGAAGCAAAACAATCTCAAAAATAGCCTCCTAGGGCTATTTCAGTTCCCAAGGAAGAGGTTTTAACAAGCAAAAAACTACGGGTAAGAAGTTTTATCGCAAATCAGAAATATGACACCATTAAATCGAAAATCTTTCGAAAATAGAAAACTCACATCAGATAGTCTCAAAACAATCCACAAAAATCACCAATAAGATCAGAAGAGGAAGACGACCAAGAAGGGGTCACCTTGTCCATCGTACGGAAGATGACATTAGCACGTCATTGTCACTTCAAAGGAATCACGAGTGCCTGAAGAACACTTTGATAAGGTTGAATTGAAACTCTAATACCAAGTTGAAGTGTAAAAGTATGAAAAACTTTGATTAGGGCTAGAGAGAAAAAGAGAGAGAAGGAAGAAGAAGAAAGCTGTATATATTATTAAACATATGTTTCTTGGCTCCTTTCATAAACCTAAAACATCAGCAAATATAGAAAATACAATATGACTATAGTACCCTCACTCAACACAAAAAATAACATATATCACTATATATTCTAACAATATAATTTATGTACTAAATATAAAAATTTGAACTTCAAAATGCTTACACCTTGACGCCTTTAGGCTTACGGCTTGCCTCATGAGGAGTAAAATGCCTCATGTGATGCATTCGCCTTACATACATACGTGTTTGCTGACTAGAAATTTGCATGACATCACACCCTACATACTTGGGGTGTTAAAAAAAACCCAGTTAAATTGTAAACTGATTGAACTGGTCCAAGCCATATGGTTTGGTCCTGTTTTTAAGGGGACAGTTTGGTTCTAGTTTCAAAAACTTAAGAATCATTGATTACAGTTCAGTTTACAGATTAAGGCTCAAAATGATTGAATAAAACCGACCATGACTATTTGATGTTTTTAATAATTTTAATATGTATAAGGTGTTTGACAAGATACTTACTTTTCTTATTGATTTCTTACTTTTAATCTCAATTTCATTCCAACGTTGACAAGGCCTTCATTTATTTTATTCATGAAGTACTTTCTCTTTGTACAAAAATTGTGTAGTTTGTTTTACTATTTGTATGATTTACATATTATTTAAATTGCATTTTTATAGTAATTGCTATATAATATGAAGAGTTTGTTTTGTTTTTAGATAGATTATCAAAATTAATCTGGAGAATATTCAAAAAATTTAAAGTATGCTTATGTAATTTTTGGAATACTTGTATTGGTAGAATCAATTTTTATTGAACTACTCTAGTCTAGATTTAGTGGTGAATTTTTTAGTTTAGAACCATGGAACCGAACTACTGTTTGCAGTTTGGTTCTAATTCTATTAGAAGGTTCACAGTCCAGTTTGGTTCCTAAAGTTTTAGAACTGTAGAAAATGGTTTGGTCCTTGATTTGCCTTATAATTAAATCAATCTGGTCCATAAACACCCCTATGCACGGTAATATAACTAAACCAAGCCTTAAATCCCATCAAATGGGATTGGCTACGTGAATCAAGAGGTGATGAATTATACAACATATGTTCATGTGTTTGAATGTGATTTTCTAATAGTTAGTCAAAAGGGAGGTGGAATTCAGAAGCGATACTGGCAAGAGTTATGCTAGGGACCCCAAATATTCTACCAAATATTCTACCAAACCTCTTACATGGGTGTGGCACCCACACACGTGGATTTACGTGGGTCCCACCTCATGTGAGAGATTTGGTAGAATATTTGGTAGAATGTTTGGGATACATAGCATTTCTCTACTGGAAGTGAGTAACATAGTTCAAAAAAAATACCACAGGAAATAGGAGGTGATCAATTATTCGAAATTAATTGAAAATTTTAATACTTTGATAACATGACACACTTGAAAAAATCCATCTGTATAAGCATTAGATTATAAGAAAATAAATTTATAAGGGAAGTTCTGTATTTTGAAAAATTAGGTTTTGAGAGTGTAGAAAAATATATTTAAAAAAATGGGGGAGCACAATTCTTGTAATTTTTCCTGACATCTCCCAAATGTTTTGACGAGTTTTCTTCAATTTCCTCTAGACTTTGCAAAATGTTTCCTTTACCATTTTAAGAAATCTTTTCTTGGAAGCTTTATCCTAGCCTTTAAGGGTGCTCAGCAGATATTCTGATCTGCCTAAACTGATCGAACTGAACTTATTCGCTGCATTTTGGACAGATGCGTGATGATAAGTGGACAGTTGCGGATTGATTTTTTTCAATTTGCCTAGTTTTGGACGGGTGACAGATTTGAGGTTCTTTTAGCTGCAATCGAACCGCTAAACCACGAACACCCCTAGTAATTTTTAAGATTGAGTTTTTAATTTGTTTAAATATTATGTTTGTGTTTTCAATTGAAAAATAGTTTAGATATTCTGTTGTGTTTTCAATTTGTTTTCAATTTGGAAATCTTTTTATCAAATGGCAAGTGTTGATATTTGGTATTTTTGTATGGAAAATATAAGGCTTAATTTTGTCATTTAAAAAAAAAAATCAAATTAAATAATTTTTGAATAAAAAAAAAAGTAATAAAATAGTTTTGATAATGCATGATTTTTTTATATGTATTTATTATTGATATTTGATAATTTACTTGCTAATCTTTTGGTTATGTGGAGTTGGATTGTTATTCAAAAAAAATGTTGACAAGTTATATTATGTTTAAAATTTGTAAAAGTTTAAACCGCCAAACCGATTCGCATCAATCCGTCAATTTGCATCTGCCAATTCGGCGGACGAATGTGGATTGATATTTTCCAATCCGCCAATCCGGCAGACAAATGACGGATTGGAGGTTCTCCGGCCGCAACCGAACCACGAGCACCCCTGCTAGCCTTTACAATTTTTTGGGAATTGTGTGTTCCTTGCTAAACCAAGTTTTTCCAAGGCGGTAGTTGGACACCACACCTATTTTGTTATTAATTTTCTCGAGGAACATATTTTTAGTACCTTGAACCTCTGTCAAATACTGTCCTGACATTTAGAGAAAATGCCGAAGTCGTAGTTCTTGAATTCAAATGCATTGAATTAACAGTATCTTCTTGTTGGATTCTGAAATACAGATGTGGAAATTTCAAAAGTGCAACTAACTCAGAGAGAGCTTTTCTGTTCCAGGTTGCAAGCTATAAAGGTCAAGGGAGGATAGCAGAATTTGGGTTCCGAAATCCAAAATGGGTTGATGGTGAACTCCTCCAACTCAATGGCAAGGTAACAAATTATGAAAGCCTTGAAGCATTTAACCTTCCTTTTGATCTGACCCGAGTTTTTGAATTGATTTGTTTTTCCAATTGTGGTTTTGTGTAGGGCATGGGACCATATGTACGAGGAGCAGATCTTGGTTTCCTTTATGTTGTACCTGAGCAGAGTTTCCTAGTACTTTTCAACTGCTTGAAACTACCAGACTAACAAGTCTGTTCGATCTGACACCCCTTGCATATGGTATGAATTCAAGAAGAGAAAATATTTCTTGTTTTCTTTGAGTGGAGGCAGTTTCACCCTACGATAATACAATGTAACTAGCATGCACGTTTTTGTCTTTTTTCTTCTCCTTTTTAAGTGTTCTTTTGAAGATTTTGAAAAAAATAAAAGAAATAAAAAAGCGAAATGTTTTTGAAGGGTTATTTTGCTCAAGATTTTGTGGTTTTTCTCAGCTCCTTCACCGGTAATTCAATAGGATGATGGTCTATTAGCATTTCTAAGTAATACCTGTAAGAAATTCACAAATAGATGATACACACGAGCTACTCTCTGCAGCAGTCAGGTAGCAGGATATTCTTTGATCAGATGAATATGGGACGTGTGATGTTTAGAATTTTTTGCAGCTTCCTGTGAATTGTGTAATCGTCTTAGAATTGTGTGAGAAGCTCGGGTAACTACAATGGTGATGACCAAGTAATTTGTATGGAAATAATATTCATGGATGTGTACAATTTGGCTATACAAATTATAAATTCAAAAGAAGCTGACATAGTTCCCACAGTAAATGGCAAAAGGTCTGTCTTTTGTGTTTTGTTATTTGGGCATCAAAGGCGAGCAGGGATCCTCTCCTTGGCTTCCTATTTGGTGGGTTATTTGGTTCACTTTTAAGCTTAATTTTGATAATTCGAGCAGTACACATTTTAAGATTTGTCGAGTATATTATATCTATAAAAATTAAGTTAATCGGATATCGAAAATCACATGTTCGGATCATCGAGCTAAAAGTTTTATTAAAAAATAAAATTGTTTATTAATTTTTTTTTAATAAATGATTTTTAGTTCGATCTACTTGTTTTTTTACAAGTATAATACACTTGACAAATCTTAAAATGTGAATCGTTCAGATCATTGAAATTTAGTTCAAAAATGAGCTCAATGACCCACCAAATAGGAAGTCAAGGAGAGGATCCTTGCCAATTGATGTCGAGCAGAACATCTTTGTACTTTGGTGAAGTAGAAACCAAAATTTATGGAGGTTCCTTTTTGTGGCCATTCTAGGTTTAATAATTGGAATTTGGACACAACAATCTGAGCAGGGAGATTGCAACATGTAAATACTTTATGGCAAACAAAGACTTAGATTTATTCACTCATTCATATGCCCAATATTGAGTCTGTTTAAACTAATCCAAAAGATAATGATAAATTTGAGTGAATGGACAAATTTAGGGTTTTATGTGTCACAAAATATTAACGCGTTGCAATCTATTATTTGGTTCAGTTTAAACTCGAATTGGCGATAAACTTAGGTTTTTATTTATCACAATATGTTAATGTGTTGCAATCTTAGTACTTGAATTGTTCGGTGACAAATTGAGTTGCAATAAAAACGAGAAAGAGAGAAAGGTAATGGGATGCTTTTCTTCTTTCTTTTCTAGTTATTCTTTTGGAACAGAGAGCAGGACCACAGGGTGCTGGACAAAAAGATATGTGTCATGTTGGCAATGTGTCAACACCCACTGTTTGGAAAGTGCTTCAAATAGAAGAAATCTCACTTGGAGTTGGAGAACTTTGTTTGGTAGAAGGGAAAATAGAAAGTTGAGAGTATCTGTGCCTTTATTTTTTCAAGAGATGCTTATCTTCAAAGAAACCTAGAAGCACTTGTTGGTTTATCTCTAAGCCTCACTAAAGAGTCCTCCATACACAAGAAAATGACAAAAAAATGAATAAATCTAAAGCACTTATTACTAAATTTAATACACAATTAATGAATTTCATAACACTTTTTAACCTTTATAAACTTTTTGAAAACAGTTTTTATCAAAATTTCCAAAGTACTTTAGCATCTGTCAGTAAATAATAGGATGTTTAACTTTTTTTTTTTCTTCTAGTTTTCTCTTCTTTTTCCATCCGACTTCGAAGTTAGTGTTGGTGTTAGTAGTGGTGGTAGGATTATGGAAACATTTTCAACTCAAATGAATTTATTTTTCATTAATTATAGAAAATATTTTCTATTAACTTACATGTTATGTTCTATTAACTTACATTTTATGTTGTACCAAATGTTAAAAAAAATATAAATAAATATTTTGTGCTGTTTTAGCTATCTACATTTTTTAGAAGGGAATTGGATGGCAATTGGCCACAGGAAAAGAATCCCATTTTGGGGTGACATCAGTTCACAAGGTGTGGTTAAGATCGAGATCACATTAAATCCATATAATGGTGACAGGTGACAACAATAGCTAGTAATAAAATTGATTCACTTTCTCTCGTGTTGAAAATCTTATTATAACAAAATTGAGGAGTTTATATGGTTTATTTTGAGTTCTGTTCTAATAATTTGAATTGTTCATTTTGTAGGATTCTTAATTTGTATTATCCATGAAAAAATTAATTCGATCTAATAATCATAATTTTTTTATTTTATTGTATTTATCTTTGAAAAAATAGACGATAAATATATTTTTAAAGATAAATGTGATAAAATGAAAAAGTTATGATTAATGAATTGATCAAAGTTTTTTCATGGATATTGAGATTCCTACAAAATGAACAGTTCAAATTATTTAGATGAAACCTGTAATAGTCCGTATGGAACTCTTAAATTTTCTCATATTAAGATCTCAACATATGAAAAGTTTAATCCTAATAAAATAATGGTGACAGTAGTGTTAATAGGACAAGATAGAGCGAGCTAAAATATGAATTAAAAAATAGGTTAGATTATCTATTGAGTAATTATTTGATTACTTAATACTTGCGCATTTATATTCCATTTTAAATAAGTACAAGTGGATCATGACTCATTTAATTTCTACATTGTTTAATTTTTATTCATTTATATTGTATTTTCTGAAAAATAGGCTATTTATATAGCTCCAACTTTGTGCCCTTTTCATTACTAATCAGTGTTTGTAATCTCCATTGAGAATTACAAAAAACAAAACAGTTACTTCCATACTTTTAAAATATATATAATTGTCTTTAGATTTTAATTTATATAATAATTAAATTCTTTTTTTATCAATAATTTATTAGCCTTATAAAAAAAAAAATCTTGTTATCTCTTTTCAACTAAAATGTATTTTTATTTTTATTTATTTCAATTTCTACTCCCCATCTATTAGTTCTAGTTATTTTAACATTGCTAAATATATATATATACTAGCGTATGCCCGTGCCTAAAGGCACGGTGTAAATAATATTAAGATTAAAATGCAGTTATAAAAATATATTTAACAGACTGTACTCTACAATTCTAAACAAATCAAACATAAAAAAAAATTAAATATCAAATAATGCACATCAGCCAATGCTCTGCAATTTAAAAGAAATTAAAATTAAAATACACACCAGTTACTGTACTCTATAATTCCAAACAAATCAAATATAAAAATAAAATTAAATATCAAATAATGCACATCAGCCAATGCTCTACAATTTAAAAGAAATTAAAATTAAAATGCAAACCAGTTAATGCTACTGTTGCCAATCAAATCTCTAAGAGAAATTAGAACCGTTGAATCAAATCTATAGATGGTATGTAGCTTCACAACAAAATTCATCCTATGACATCTGGTAACCACAAAATTTAGAAATATAACGCACACACATCTATTCTATCATTGAACAAAATTGTTTTCATCTTCAAATGCAAGATGCCTACTTTTTGTAGAGTATTGTTGTGTGATTACCAATTTTTACACCAAATTTATATATCATTTTGACATGTAATCACAGAATTAGTGCATCAGTAGACACCTTTCATGCATTAAACTACACATATGCATGGCATATAAGATGCCTCCTCAGATGATGGAACCTAACTGTATAGAGATAACTTGAAAATAGAGCCTAATGGCAAGAGGAACAATACATTATTTAACTGTATAGTATAGAGAAAAATTGACATTTTTTTCACTATCATATTCCATATCAGTTTAGGTGTTTTCTTTTGTCTAACATTAACAATACATTATTTAAAAGAAATACAAATAAAACAAAAATGATTGCCTACAGAAAATATAAGGCACAATAAATATGGTAAATGGACCACCCCAAAACAACTGAGATTAATGAGTGATCAAAAATATCATAAATGTAGAACTGTTTCTAGAATTGGGTAATCATAATGTTCAAGATAATATTGTGCAACTGATTTAGCTACTTCTATTCAAATCAATCACAGGGACAATGGGTTACGTTTGTCAGACCCACATTTGAATCCCTGATATAGAATATATATGGTTACAGAGAAATTTTCAAGTGTTAATCCAACTAAGATCTATCAAAAGCAGCAGTTGCAATAGCTGATCATTACATAGCCACACTACACACCACAAAAGAAATTCAACACTAAAAAGAGTTAGAAGTATGGACCCTACCTTAGGCTGAATATTGGTTATTGTGGACCTCAGCACAGTGATCTTCTTCATCTGGCAAATACCAGTGGGGGAATTGAACAAAAAGAGCGAAAAAACATAAGGAACATCCAATCTAAAGATGAAATACTTACCAAAAAAAATCTAAAGATAAAACAGAAGTTAACAGGTAACTTTCACTGGACATACCCTGAACAAAAGCAGGGGTATATAATATTTATTTACCAAATGTTGATCAGCAGATTTCTACTATATAGCACAAAGAATCCCAAAGATAATGTCAATTTTTTATCGAAGGAAAATAAATTACATACATAGTCAATAAAAAACTGAAACAAAGAATAGTACGGGATGTTGGTTGAAAAACAACTATAGGAGGCATTGCAGTTGCTTTGATAGCCTGCATACTCCTAGCAATACATTTTTTGTATGGTTTGGACCAAATCATTCTGTGTTCATCACAATATAAGCAAACACTACTCAACTGCACAAAGAGGAAACAGTGGATTACTCAAATCTGTTAAGGAAGATGGCTTGCCAAGAACAACATACCAAAAAATGCTTGATTGAAACTTTGCAGAATTCAGATTGCGATTGAAAGACGACACCTGAAACAGAATAAAACAATAATAATAACAACAATGAGAATAATTTCCATGTCGCACATTGCATCCATGAGTAGTGAAAACTAAATGACATATGTGGAAACAAAATTAGAACAAAAATAAATAATAAATAAAAATAAAAATACACATACAACAGAATTAAAAAACAAAGAAAGTTCTAAGGTGAGAATTTAACTGGAAAAAAAGAAAAAAAAAAAATTACCAACATCTCAATAAATAAACATTACCAACATCTTAATAAATCTTACCAAAAAGGGATATGTTAGAATTCAGGTCATGGTATTTGACATAAATAAATAACTATAATAGAATTATTAAAAAATAAAAAATAAAGTGAGAAGTTAAGTTTTCAAT